TTTGTTTTCAATAAAATAATATAATACGGGAGTATATAAATGGCCGGACCGGGTTACCGCGCGAAATATATCGGACCAATTTTACAATTACATGTCAATCAACAAATTTAAATCCAAATCTATGCTCGTTGGATCCCGTCATAGGGTAAATTGAGTTGGGGGATTTCATATTTTCATTTTCAGAGAGTTAACTTTGATGGCGAAATAATAAATACGGTAAGTTTTTGAAAAAAATGCTCAGAGTAATTATATATAAAACTCTGTCATGGGACAATCATAATAGATATTCTTGGTAAAAAGCTTAGCCAAAAAAAATGGTGTTTTTATGAGAGTTCGCAGATTTTTACCTATTCCCGTCAGGGGAATAATGTCGAAGAATGTCAATGAAGCACCTGCACGCACAGAAAACACATTCTTGACATTCAGGTAACTACAATATAACTTCGATAATAGACGAGATTTTATTATCGGAGATGTTCAAACCAGCTGCACGTTGTCAAGGCTTCCCTGACATTTATTTAAATGCAGCCTAACCAGGGAGCTGTAATGAGAATCTCATTACAGCTCCCTGGTCTAACTAACTTCGATACTAGACGCTACTACACGAGATTAATTATTTCGACAACAACAAACATGATATGTCAGTAAAAAGGGCAGCATAGCAAAGTGAAACTCGAGTTTAATACAGTTCGGGCAATAAATAATCAAAGTGGAAGAATTAATAGAAAATATGCAACCATAGACGCTACAATAGATTGTATGATGCACTTTATGCGTGGAAGAACCCGTCTATGGATCTTCATCGAAATATTGCTTGAGTGAAACCAGACAGGGGAGAAACGCATACTTGTTGATGTTTTAGAGAATATGAAAAAAAAGAGTGTATACTAGTATATATATGATTATAGAAAAAATGTAATTCGACGAAACGGGTGTGCTTCGTGGGTATATTGAATGAGAAACCATTATACTCAATCAGCGATCGACTAATCACCTTCAAGTAAATGTTGAGGTGCTCATTAAAACATTTACATATTTGATTACTAAAGTTTTATAGATCGAGGTACAACACGCAAACTGTATAACAGAGTATAAGCAGCTACAAATAAATGACTTCACAAATTTCATGAATATTTGAAAATAATATTGATTATTTTATAATGTACTAAATAAATAGGCCGTAAATTTGATTGGGTGATTGGGTGAAAATTCCGCCAACGTAGGCCTAGGTATGATACTAGTAATATCTCATCGCGATCACCTATTGGTCATAAATTTGATTGGTTGATTGAAAATGCCGTCAATGTAGGCCTAGGTATGATACTAGTAATATCTCATCGCGATCACCTATTGGTCATAAATTTGATTGGTTGATTGAAAATGCCGTCAATGTAGGCCTAGCTATGATATTAGTAATATCTCATCGCGGTCACCTATTGGTCGTAAATTTGATTGGTTGATTGAAAATGCCGTCAATGTAGGCCTAGCTATGATATTAGTAATATCTCATCGCGGTCACCTATTGGTCGTAAATTTAATTGGTTGATTGAAAATGCCGTCAACATAGGCCTAGGTATGATACTAGTAATATCTCATCGCGGTCACATTACGGTT